TAGGCAGCACTTAAGCGTAAAATTGATTCCACCATGAGATAGAGCATCAAAAACACTCCGGAAAACACACAAAAGTATTTTACTAAACGCCTATTAAGTGGTCCAAAAATGACTAAGTTTAGGTTTTCTACTCAGTTTGTAGGGAGAGATTTTGGAACTTGCTTTGCCCATAAGTCAATGAGATTGTATTTAAACTGTTTCAAACTTTCAGAACCAGAAGTAGGTAGGAAGTTGTATGAGTAGTAAAAATTACAGCACTTAAAGTTGATGTCTTCCTAATAAACTTCGCGTTATGCCGCAAAATGTAGGGAGACTTTTTTTGAAGGGAGAGATTCGTTTCGAACTTTTTTCCTATTCAAAGCTGTGTAGAACTGAGAAAAGTAAACTTTAATGGCTTTTCGAACACGCTCTTTCTGGTAGAGCAAACAGAACTACGTAAAACAATAGCTTTGGAAGTATTTACCAATAAGCCATTTCGCGGTTGTGGTTTTTAGACTTTTTTCGAGGATCAATTGACCAAATATATTGTGGGGGACAACAATGAAACCTCACACATCAGGTTTTTCCAGTTTGAACCTCACAAAACCTCGTAAAATCTCAAAATCAATATCTTTCGGTTTTGTGAGCTTTTTCGGAGTGTTTTTGATGCTCTATCTCATGGGGGAATCAATTTTACGCTTAAGTGCTGCCTAAATCCGTCAGACCGATTTTGGTGTCTCCCTACAATTTGTAAGGAAAACTTAATTCTCCAAAACAATCTGTGCCAAAGTGCTGAAGCGAAATCGTAAACGATATGGATGGACAGAGAATTTTGCGCTCTACACGATCCACTGGTTTGCTTTTTCTTTATCATCTGTCTTTGACGTGAAAATCGCGTTTTTTTAGCCAAGATAAAAGCGCGTTTTTCTGCTTTTTCATCCGTGTATCTCACTCACCTGAACACATGGAATGCTCAAAATTTTATCGGTAGTGAGAGGTGATGAGATGAATAAAATAAAAAAAAATTTTAGGAATACGACAAACCACTACGGATTTATAGCAGAAACGGTACTAAACAACCAATTGTACAGTTAATATACGATTCACTCATATACTCACGTATATAAGTGTACAGTATTTCCAGCAAGAAAATTACCTTTGTATTAAACCGAAATGGTAGAAAGAGAAATAACAAGTTCTATTTTCTGTATTTCTTGTTTCTATAATGATTAGCACTAACATGTAGTAACGGTGTTTGTCCCTCTTGTTTTCTGAACTAAAGTTTTTTTATCTATATGGCATTAGTGTGGACAAAGTGTCTAAAGATGGATTGACGAATAGCAATTTTTGAATGAAATTGTAAATGATACAATAATTCGCATTTTACCATTGTTTTGCGAATTGGCGGTGAATTCGTAATTCATTGCGAACTAACAAAAATGATCAAAAAGGAACCCAAAGGGTGTCTCTTTTGTTCCTTTTGCGAATTCGTAAATTGGGACGAATGCGTAGGCAAGAAATTTCGGGTACCTACGAATTCTAAATCTTATTGGTCGACTATCGACTAATTCGTGAAATTATCTTTCTGATCCCCAACAATTCGTACACGAATTCGTAAATTGGCAAAAATACGATAAAATGAGAATTTACGAATTCGCAAAATACGAATTGACGTTCGCAGTTTGGATGTTGGCAGTGAGGATGGTAGTGAGTATTTACACAACAAGCCAAACGTGTTTTGTCGAATATTGAATACAACAAGAAAGAAGATAGAAAATCGAGCATGGCTGTACGCGGGCCTCGGTTGCTCAAGCCAACTGACTATTGATAGCAATAATTGCTGAGAGACAAAGACGAGAACAGTACACGAATGAATTTAAAGATGATTGAATTGCACAGGAAATAATGATAAAAGGAAGATACTGTACTTTGTTTGACACATAGAACTCACCTCACACACGTATAAAAAGTAAATTAGAGAGATTTAATGCGAAGAGACGATTCTTACTTTTCTTAACGTCAGAGAAATGTGTCTTGTCCTTGACATGAATTTGTATTTTAGAAATTCGTAAAAATAACGGCAAATTGATATGAGAAGTATGCGAACCGATGCGAAAAGACGAATCTATCTACTTTTAACCTGATAGTAATGCGTCTTGTCCTTGTCGAAACTAGCACTGTCGAATTCGGTAAATTGGTTTGCGAATTCGTACTCAGCCTAATAAGCGTACACATCGATTCGCAAAGAATTCGCAGAATGAATTTGCGAATTCGTGGATCCATTTTCAAGTTCGTAATAAGAATTCGCTAATTCGTATTTACGAATTAATATTGATCAGGATCGTGTTTGATCTATTCGCATGTTTACAAATTCATAAGATGAGTTCGTAAAAGTTTTTAAGAGTATCCGTGCGAATTCGATACAGTTCGCATCAATTCGCAAAATAAGCGTAAAATGCGAATTGTTGCATCATTTTTACGCTTAAAAATTGCGATTCGTCTATTTGTCTTTAGACACTTTGTTCACACATCTCCTATATGGTTGAGCATTATTTGACACTTTCTATATGGCGTGTACAAGATCATACAATATAGTGCACTTATGTATGAGAAAACATTTCTATTTCTTATGGCGAAGCTTTTGAAATGTACGCACTATTTAATCTTAAGGGCCTCATCTAATGCGGGCATACGATTTTTTCGTAGTTGATTCACACTTCCCTTCATTATTTGGCTTGGATTTAGAGATTTTTCAGTGTGCGCACCAGACCGTACTGAGTCTCTTACCAGGATTCCCTCTACATAGAAGACATACCTCTCTTTACTAGTGCAGTATCGCAGAATCGCAAGCATTAAATAGTAAAAAACACATTTTATTTTTAGTTTAGACAATCACAATAGAGCATATATGCTTTACAGCTAGAAATCCTATTTACTGTCGAATGATTTGGTTTTAAAAGAAACTCACATGTGAACACATGTTATCGCACAATTTCAATTTCAACAAATACAAAACGGGCGATGACAAATAATTGACGATTCTTTCAAGAGTAAACGGTATTTATGTTGTTCATTTAAGACAATTTTAAAATCATAACTTTGAGCGGAATTTGAATATTGGGCACATTGATAGCTAACGGTGTTGGCAGAGCGGTTGGTGTTATATCTTTATAGAAAATAGATTTAATTGATTGGCAGTCCTCACGCTATACTGTATATAGCCATTTCCTGGCATCTTTATCTTGTTTCTTTAATGTTGTTAATACGATTACCGTCCCTACACTGATGATCCTTGTCGTCGATTATTGTCACTATCTAACTCTCGGTAATCATGACCTACACGTTTGATTAATATTAATAAGCTATTCACTATCCAACGTCCATCTGTCTACATCATTCCTTTTCGTTCTAAAACTTTTTGTGAAATTTTTAATTATTAACTGATGTTAATAGAAGAAATTATATAAATATACTTTTTATGTCTCAAGATGAAAGATTACTTAACATTGTACACTCTCATTCGAATTGAATCAAATTCATCGATTTATAGAAAAAGCTAAAAAAGAGACAGAAGATGTGAAAGTTTATATACTGGATTAGATTTGTACTGTACAAACTACTTAATTTAAGAATGGCATATCAAAATGTCTCTGACGAAATCTTTGAACTCGATTCGATAACCGCATACTCTGAAATCATAGTCTAATCGAAAGACTGGTCAATTGCCGAAAAATTGCGATGGCAACAAATTGGCTATTATATGTATTGACACAAAATAATTATCATCAAGTTTGAATCCTTAGTCGATCTTTGAATTTTCCGACGGCATAAAGTGTTGATCTACCCATTCACAATTTTCTGAGTGAAAAGAATTTGAAATCAGATTCTCAAAATAATAATATTCTAAATAAGATATACCTCGGGTAACACGTTAAAGACAAACCTGATTCAGACATCGGCTAAGCGTTCCTACTTCTACTCTGTTCATTATCAAACTACTTTATATTATATATAGTTTCAAAAAGCAACAAGAATAATATGTCATCAAAAAGTAGTCGAAAGTGGAAATAATAAGGTAAGTTAGTTCTTTAGGGCTAGCACCAGTCAAATGATTTGAACAGCTGACATGATTTCAAACCGATGCAGTTATTTTTTAATAACTAATTAAAAAATAACACCTTTTCCGTTCTCTACATTCTTGTTTTTTTCTTTTTTGTTATGACGTTTTCATCACCTCTTGCTTCTGTTGTGCAATTCCGTAGTCATGAATTATGTAATTACACACCAATAAAGTTTCATATATACTTAAATGATAATCTTAGGTTTATTACTAATCAGCTGTCTAAAGTTCGCAATATGTTAGAAAGGCCTAAACGTTTACATATACCTGAACAAGCTTTACAATTAACTGACTGGAATGGTCAATGTCTCCAGAAGGCTGCTCTTGGCTTACTTTGTCCAGGTTGTTTTGTTCGATGTATTGTTAGCAACTTAAACGATGGATGGGAAGCAATTTATTTTAAAATAATTAAAATAAAAGATGGTACATATTGGGGTGAAACACAGCCAACGTATCGAACGCATATAGTAGAAGGTGATCTAGAAAATGGAAAAATATTTACATTTCGTTCAAAACATATAATGGAAGTGCCTATTAGTTGGCAACCAAAATCCTTACAAAGAAGAATGATAAAATATCTGATACCAGAATGAAGTTTTACGATCATTGGTATACCTTTCAAATTTATTACTTTTTTTTGTAGTTTAGGTATAGATTTTAATTATTGATTAGACTTCTTTTTTGTTCCTTGTTCTGCTCACCACGCTCTTCGATTTATAAATGTGTATAGTACTGATGTGTATTAATCAATTATTATGATTGTTAAAAAAAACATTTCACGCACCCAAAGACTTTTTACATCTATGACACACTTTCAGGCGCTTGGATGGAAAGGCGATAGAGATGGGATGATAGACCAGTCGTTTTCTAATCAGTTATGTGGAACAACTTTTTTATGCCTAAGAAGATAGGGCGAGCGTAATTCAAAGTTTCCACACGATTTTATTTTTGGCTCATTTACACTTCATTCGATAGAGTTTTGGGCACTGAATCCGAGTATCATTTCATTTTTGTTTCAAACTAAGATCTTCATGGAGAAAAGTCAACATACGTGAAGGTACTGTGTCTTTTGAGCTCTCAAGATGTAATGTGACCAGTCTCAAAATTTACTTTCGCTCCTAGCTCGAAGCCAAGCTCTCATTTTGCTGTTTTTTTCTGTTGAGAGATGGAATCAATTAATAATGGTCAACAATTTTGCACTATCACTCTATGTGTTTTATAATCAGGAGTACGTTTATTAGTGCGACCACTCCAATTTTGATTAAAATCGACTCACACTGATTCTATAACCACATGATAGAGTTTTGTACCGAAAGCATACAAACGGATCTCGCCGATGCGGGCTTTGGAAAATTTTTGGATGTGACTACCGATAGAATTTTTTGCGGTCTTTCGAATGGCCGTCTCGGATTTTATATTCTGAGGAAGATTTTTTAGAAAAATCATTTTTTGCCTTAGAAAGCTGGAACTTTTACACATCCTCGCTTCTTCTTTTATAACTCTAAGAATTTCTGCTCCGAGAACATTGGTGACACATGTTTCTGTAGAGAATTCAATGGCGCATCGTTTAAAAAAAAGTTTGAGCAGATTGCACAAAAGATGATGGAGTTATCACAAAAACAAAAAAGGACCATTTTACCTGGGACACCCGGTAGATACGTCGGTAAAACATATTGTTACCTCATAACTCGAGTACGAGAACACTTACGTCATCAGAATATACTGTTAATCCCTTTTTTCAAACACATCTCGTTATTCAAACACATCTCGTTTTACCGCCAGCATGCAAGGATTTCATGCAAATTCAAGCACATGAAAGGGCAGCCACCTGTCCTCGACAAAACAGCGGCAAATCGAACAAAAAACAAAGCCTCGCCAGCACATCATAAGGCCATCACAATATCTGAACTACTGTGAAGCCTGCAACATGCGTTCAACCCAAATGCGCTTACCACAGCCCAAATCCAAAGCCGCGACCTGGCTGCATGCAAACGGCCAATGCAAAGCACAGCTTGATCACATCCTAATCAATGGAAAGTGGCTGAACTCCATCAGAAACGTGCGAGCATACAATACAGTAGAGCTAAATTCTGACCATCGAATCGTGAGTGCAAAGGTGCAAATCAGC